AAGCAGCAAATGATGATGTAAAAGGAGATGATACACTCCACGAATTCTGATGCTGCTCGCTAAAATAATATTATTTTCTTGACTATCGCATCTTTTCTTGTATATCACATTTATGTTGTGTGAAAAGTTGCAATGTTTTTTTTTTTGTCCTTTTCTGTTCTCCTTTCGTATCTTCTCATCACGAGACCGATCATTTTAAATTTCAAAAGAAATCAAGTCCACGCTCGCGAATATACTCACACGCCTGAAGAAGGTGACCATTTGGACGCGTGCACATAGCACGGAATAGAAACCGCACGATGTGAACATACCGACATGTCGCTCGTGGACTGGCTGCGTAGTTCCAATGTGTACCACTCGTGGACATGCGCTAGTTTTCGGAGCGGTAAAGTGATTACACATTCTCTTATGGACCTGGTCGCTCTCAGACTTCTCTCTGTTTCTATGCTCGGTTCAATGAGAAAATAGAACACTTCTCGCGCATAGGGGTACGTTCCAAAATCTTTTACCTTAGTAATTGAAAACTATAGTTCACGTGACGTAAAATATAGCATTGTAGTAACCATAGTAGGATTTTGGAACGTAACCTAGGGGTGAAAGAGCGGTCAAACTGGGGATGCTCAGTACCATAAACACATAAACATATAAGAAATAGACTGCGCGTGCGAGAGGAAAAGTGGGTCCAACTACAGATCGAGACAGACGCTTTCACTCGTGCCTCTATCTCTCTGTCTTTCATTCCTACTACTTTTCTTGTTCGCCAATCACCGCGTAACTAAACAAGAACAGAGACACGAGTGAAATCATCTATCCTTGTCTGAGATTGTACCATTCCCTCTTCACAGAGAAGATCGGGAACGCGCGGTCTATTTCTTATATGTTTATGGTTGGACCAAGTATAGCAAAAATAAGCTTAGAATGGCGATGGACTAACTTGAGGCGGTCCTTTGAGCCATATATGCACCAAACCAAACCTATAGCAAAAATAAGGCCAATATTCACCGAATTACATTGGCCTTTTAAACTGGTATTAAAACATTCTTGCGTTTTTGTCTGTCGAAGATTCGGAATATATTTTGATTGGCTGTCGGATAGAGTTTTATAGAGAACTTTGTGGGTACAGCCAATGAAATCTTCTTGAAAAAAAAATTGTAACACCAGCCTTTAGTATGGTATACAACAAACATGTATGATCGACATGACCTGTGAAGATGTTTCTCTTTACATTCACGTAATATATGTGTATATATTTTTCTATATATGCGATACGTAATATATATATATATATATATATATACACATGTATATATATACGCACATCGTGTGTACCACCTGCTTACCACCATATACTCGCGCGCGCGCGAATACGTAGTTAAAACTAGATATTTCCGACTGATTTTTGAGAGACAGATTTCACAAAGAGTTAACGAAGTTCCGACAAACGTTATCGATTGCGAGGAGAGAGCGCGCAAAAAAAAGTTTTAATCGTTTTCTTAATAACAGGAGATACCGCACAAATGGTGCGACCGCCGCATAATGCCAGGTTGTTGAGATCGTGCGAAAAGGTCTCCTAAGAAGAGAGGAGTTGCCTTTCGTTTTCGAAAGCGATTCCGTGGGCGCGCGCTCGCGCGAGCCTTAGCGTTGAAAGGAACGGGCCCAGGATGGCGGAGAATCAGGGCAATTCGTCGGGTCAAACCGGTACGTTTGTTGTCGACTTGCACGATGCCCCGTTTTTGCGAGAAATCATGGAAAACCTAACCTCGGCGTCGTTCTCGAGGCTTGAATTCTGTTGTGTATACAAACGACGAGATCTTTGCAACGTTTTCTCGATGTTTTCTATTGTCGAATTGCAGGTTCCGGCAGGTCTTTCAATTTTCCACGAATGGATTTTCGAACAAACAACGACGTTCAGAATGAGAATGCCCAGAATGAGATGTCAGGTATGTGTGTGTGTGTGTGTGTGTGTGCGCGCACAATAATTTCTTTTCGCGAGAGTCTGTTGAACCCCGTTTCATCACGTCTTGTTTATCACGTTCTGTTACAGAAAGACGAAGACAGCTAAAACTTAGTTTCCAAACACAAGGCAATAATTTGTCATTTGCCAATTCGACAAATACTTCATTTTCAAATTCAACGGGAGCCACGGCTTGTCCACCAATGTGAGATTTTACCAAGCAAGATAGTTCCATCATTCATTATCATCCATCGCTTATCTGTAATAAGACTTTGATTTTTTTTTTTTTTGTATTCACGATAATAGATCCTCCCGTCCAAGTCTGCCTTTATCTTTATCCAAGCTGCCAGTCAAATCTCGCAATATGTTGCAGCAGCAAGACTTTCTTCCCGATAAGACAAGGTACAAAAAATTTTATATTTTGGAATTGTAATTTTATATACAGATATGTATATATGATCTCATCTCTCTTGTAAGAATAAAATCTCAAATCTGTTATATATATATATATACACACATATATACAGAGATAAGCTGCGAATGTGCCAGTCTATGCAAACTACTGGCAAATTACAATTATCTCCAGATGTGATATATGATTTCACAAGTGAAGATCTTCAAGATCTGGGAGAAATAGGAAGAGGAGGATTTGGAACTGTAAATAAGATGATTCATAGGATAAGCAATACTGTTATGGCTGTGAAGGTAGATTCTTTTTTTTTTTTGTGTGTGTGCGACGTATATATATCGTTTCGTATAAATTAGATCTGTAAAAATTGTCGTAAATTACTTTCAGAGAATTCGCTCTACCGTGGAAGAAAAAGAGCAAAAACAACTATTAATGGACTTGGAAGTTGTAATGAAATCGAACGAATGCCCGTGTATCGTGCAATTTTATGGGGCTTTATTTAAAGAGGTACGTATCTATTTTCAAACGTGTGTACACACGCACTATATGTTTAATAGTAATAATCATAAACACATTTGCAATTTTATTTTTTCACACAGGGGGATTGTTGGATTTGTATGGAACTGATGGACACGTCATTAGACAAATTTTATAAATTTATCTATGAGAGATTGAATCAAAGGATACCAGAGTGTATTCTAGGCAAAATTACAGTGGCCACTGTAAAAGCATTGAATTATCTAAAAGAAAAGCTAAGAATAATTCACAGAGATGTAAAACCTAGTAATATTTTGTTGGATCGACGAGGTAACATAAAATTGTGCGACTTTGGTATATCCGGTAAGCTTGTAGACTCGATTGCGCGAACCCGGGACGCTGGTTGTAGACCGTACATGGCTGTGAGTATCTCATTTACACGATTATTAATTTATCTGTTTCTCTTTAATACAAATTAAATGTCTCGCGCGTATTAAATTGTATATGATTATTCAGCCGGAAAGGATAGATCCGCAACGTGCACGTGGTTACGATGTACGAAGCGATGTGTGGTCGTTGGGTATCACGCTAATGGAAGTTGCTACAGGATACTTTCCGTATCCGAAATGGAACTCTGTCTTTGAACAACTTTATCAAGTGGTACAAGGTGATCCGCCACGACTTTCCCCCAATGAAAACGGCAACCACTTTACCATGGATTTTGTCAACTTTGTCAATACATGGTAGGATTTTCTTTCATAAGAATCTTTTCGTTCCTGTGTTCTTTCGATTATTATTTGTTAGCTTCATTTATATATTATTATTTTAGCTTAATTAAAGAGGAAACTCAGCGACCCAAGTACAATAAATTGCTGGAACATCCGTTCATCAGACAAGCGGAAGAAGCGACGATCGATGTTGCGGCGTACATTAGCAGCGTTTTGGACAATATGACTAATAATGGTGTAACACCGTTTACCACCAATCAACCCTAAGAATCGGCAAAATTAAAGCGGCACAACAGGGCACGTTATAGTACCTTGGTTTTTGCAAGTTCTTTGCAGTCCATCACTCTGTACGAACTCCCTATCATCGTGCGTGAAATCATGATGCGCGCACGGTATTACTGCACTCCCCGGTGATATATCTAGCATTAAGTAGCAAAAGCGATCGTCACCGTCATCTCGCTCGAAGTCGTGCTCTCTCGAAGACTTTCGAGAGGAATCTTCTTCTCGGCGACAAACCACGTCGAGCCGAGATTGTTATAAATAGCGCGCGTATGATCGAATGATGATAATCAGCGCGCTACAAAACATCTCTCCTCTCTAACTAACTTTGTCTCTCTCCCTTGTTCAAATACACTTATAGATACATGAGTTCAATTTTTTTTTCTTTGCAATTCTTGCAATCCGCCACTTAAAAAAAAAAAATTTGTGAATTTTCAACGATAAATATCATGTATATGCCCATGTATATAATAGGTACGTACACATAGAAAATGTGAATGTATGTATCTATGCATAATTATATCTTGCCTAAAGTTTTAATTTCCACTTTTTGTAAAGAATATATTTGGTAAAAAGATACATATGTATATATATACATATATATATATATATATGTATGTGCGTGTGTGTGTGTGTATATATATATATATATACATATATATCTTGAAAACTAATCGCCAAGATGGATACACCCGCATAGATCGTTTTTTCATGATTTTAGGAACAGATTTAAATACGATATATCAAATGTTAGAGGAGTGCTGCAATGTAATGGAAATAAAAATCATTGACACTCGCAAAAAAAAAAATGTATCCTTTTATTTTTCTCTCCGTCTTCGACTGAACATTGAACTTGACCGCTAAGGCGCAGCGCGTGTGTATGTATATGCGCGCGCGCGCGTCTACCCGTCTTGATGTAACGTGGTTTTAACGGCTTAACCGATGTGACTTATCGTCCGTGTACCGACTAATTCTGCGGGTCCAGGTGCATTTTGTCGTTGCAAAGCGTCGCGCGCGGTTTGCTTTAGAAAAATTTTATTTGCAATTTCACACAATTCTTTGCGAGTCTCAAAAACTGCTAATTTTTTGTTCAATAGCTTTTTACATAGCCGAGAGTAAATCTTTGTCGCGCGTAGGCTCGCGTAAAATTTGTATAGGAATAAACTGTACCTTACAATCGATATCTTGGCAATCGTTTTATATACACGTATTTGTCGCGGTACATAGTATCTAGTTTGCACAGGTAAGAAGATGGCAGTATGTTACAACGATGCGCTCTATGGTGTTGACCAAACGCGCTAGTGTTTTACCGGTGCAGGTCTTCTTTCCGAGACAGAAATCGCTTCGAAGTGTGTGTCCGTGTAATTTGTTGTTTAAAAATTTTATTTTTCAACTTTGTAACGGATAACGCACAAATAAATTATATATTGTCTAAGATACGTAATTCATAACGTTAAAAAATAAGGGACGTTTTATTGATATTTAAATATATACGTAGTGTACGTATATATATATATACTACAAGATAAGATAGCCCTAAGAAGTTTTGCGATTATCGATTACGGCTAAAATAGAATGACAATGAGCAACATTTCAAGAGTGTGATGTCACCTATATTGCTCAATGATCTATTCCATCCTTCGTCGGTCAATAATTTGTGATTTTAATCATTCACATGATTTTCGTAAGTATTTGATTTGGGATTTCTTTGGATGAAAACGAAACAAAAGTATATAACTCATAAATAAACAACGCGATAATATTTCTTTGAATACAAATGTGTAAAAATAAAAACAGCATTCTGAAAAATTCAAGACTTACCCTTACGAAAAAGAACTATTGGTAGTAATATATTGCGGCAGTGGTACGAAATAATTACTGGCATTCTGTGTAATTGTCAGTAATATTCTCAGTGATTCCTGTAATATCTAATAATATTCTTGTGTGATTGTCGGTAATATTTATATTACTGACTTTATTTATCAATCAATCGCTCGTGAAATAGTCAAAATTTTTTAAAACAAGGCCGATACGAGCAGTAAAATACAGGTTGGTCGTGTATAATAAGTTGTCTTTATTCAATAAATATAGACGTTTCGGTCACACAATTTTGGACCTTCTTCAGTATGAAAAAAATTTAGTTTAATTAAGAAAAAATATTTTAGTACACTACATCACTCACAGATAGATGAAATAATGTTAATAACTTACAACGATATAATGTGTACACATATATTTATTTATATATTTATTGAATAAAGACAACTTATTATACACGACCAACCTGTATTTTACTGCTCGTATCGGCCTTGTTTGAAAAAATTTTGACTTTATTTATATGTAATCGGCAGTAGTTCTTTTTCGTAAGGGTATATACGCTATATTGTGTTAAAAAAAAAAAAAATGTATCTTTTCACATACGAGTACATAATTTTTTTTAATGACGGCGAGACGTCGCGCCAACTCTTGTATATGTTTGTTATATTTTCGGCATTTAACGTTTTTTGTTTTTTTTTTTTGAAGAAGAAAATGAAATAGCATTTAAATGGTTTCGTGGTTTCTCTGAAACGTTTTATCGCTGTGGTGTACATTGGGGTTTTGAAATGATGTAGATTATGTCTGCTACTGCTGCTGCTGTACTCATCGAAATCAATTCTTTTGAATATTTAATGCGAGTGCGCCTCCGCCCTCCCGGAACTCCATAGTCTATATCCGTAACCTCCTCTGCGTATTATCTGGTCTTTTAAATTGTCCATTGAAATACGTCCACATCATTGCGGTCATAACGACCGCTTCGCAATCAAGTTTTGCGTTTCTCAAGGAAATCGCGATTTATTTATTTCATGCTGCTATATATTGTCAATTTTAATATTGCAAAAGCGTGTTATCATTCAGAAAGAAAAAAGATCGATCATATTTAGCGCTAAATAAATCCGATTCAATAAAAAACTAATTGTAGATTTTTTTCAAAACTTGGTTGTTTTTATAGTAATTAATTTATATATATTAATTTATATTTTTACTAATCTTGGAGCGAACACGAAGAAAACTCGAAGTATACTGTATATACGTACGTACTATATATACATATATATATATATATATGTATATATATTATATATATATATATNTATATATATATATATATATATATATATATATATAAATTGCTTACTAGAAATAAAACATCTAAATCGATTGGGATACAGAGAATACGCTATGTTGCTTCCATTACATGTTCTTTCACATGTCGCATAATGGTACGATAATATTGCACGTAATATGTCGCTTTGCGAGTGTGACGGGCGCAGGTAAAACGCGCGTATAACAAAAAAAAAAGTGGTAGTGACTCACAACCTGACGCGGGGGAGACGGCAGGTGCTGGCTGCTGCTGATACTGGCTGGATACTGCTACCACCAGCGAGGTAGTCAGCCAGCTGGGTTGTGCCCGTTAGGACCGACAAGGGAACGCGCGGATATTCCCAGAGAGAAGATTATTGATCGGACGCAAAGATACTTTTATATTCGCGATGCGAATGTGTGTAGCTCATAAGAAATTAAAAAAATCTCGAAACTTTTTTAATCGCACGTATAAATTCTCGCAAGAAAATAACAAACGATATGGCAGGAAAAAAATTGATACAATGTGTGTCAAAAATTGACGATAATAGAAAAGTTATTATTATTGTTGTTAATATTATTTCGTAATATCTTTTCTATATCAACGGAAAACAAATACGTTTAAATTTCTGTACCAATTTTGAGTTACACGCACGCGCGCGCGCGCGCAAACACACACACGTACAACCTCTGCACTTAATTTGCTTGTGTGCAATATATTTTTTTTTAAATTTATATAGAAAATTTATGAAAATACTCTCGATCCTTTCAAACATTTTTGTTATATTTTTTAAAGATACACACATGTTCTATATTTTTCTATCTTTATTCTGTTTTATATATAAGAACGTAGGAAAGAATTGTCTTCTTTTTTTTGAAGAGGGATCGGATTTTCAAAAGAACGCCCAAAAGCGTTGATCCAAGATTAGTCCTCTATATATGATCGATTCGAAGCTGACAAATCTCTCGTGCTAACGATTATCACACACAGACGTCGACCAATGATTACAAGGTCCGGGGGAGAATCTCGTGCGCCATTCTCTCGTCTCGGTCGAATAGCCGTGGCTCTTTCCCCTCTCTCTCGCTTGCTGGTTTATCGTAAATGGCGGTCGCTGCCGCCACCCCCAATTCGATCAATGGAGGCACCTGTACCAAGGCGACTGGACGAACTGCGTATCCACCTCCGCCTATCGACACAGGACGAAAATGTATCCTCCGCCCCGCTGCTTGTTCTCGCAAAATCGGAGATCAAAAAAGATTTCTGTCGAAATCTGCGTATTTCGAGAGAAACCGCAGTGATTTTTTTCATTATAAAAAATATTAAGTCACACACGTGTAAAAAAGCTCGCATTTTATGCGACATTTGAGTATTTTAGAAAAACGCTTAGTTATGTGTTTCCGTAAATGTTTAAAGAAATCGTCTTATCAAGAGCAAAAGAGAAATTTTTTCCCCACTAAAATGAATTAACAAATAACGCATCTTTTTTTCGCTGTACTTACAAAGAAAATATAAACATATATCAGAGTTAAAAAAACTTAATATTATCCACACTTGGTTGAAGATCAAACGATCAGTTTGTACGTCTGTTTATTAAACGGATTAAAATATTTATTATTAAGCTCTCTCTCTAGATAAGAGAATAATTGGCACGTAAATTTGCAACAATTAACATATTGTTCTACCCATTTTTTTCTACGTCATCTGTGGTTTGAAATATTTCAACGTGCGCACTACTTGCCGCAAAACTAAAGCTCCCCCGTTGATTCGAATTAGGGGAGGGTCGACGAAAAGAAAAGAGGGTCGTCTAACCGGGTGGCGCGTGCATGGTCCACCTGTGCAAAAGGGAACCCAGCACCTGTCACCGCGCACCGCGACTAGGTGCCTCCGTCAGGTCGCCAGCGAGCAGGTAGACACACAGGCACAGTGGCACGTACCACCCTTTGCTCACCAGTCGAACTCGTCCAATCGCGCCGTATACACGCGCGCATTTACACAGAGTCATCATCGTGTTGTTTTTCTTCTCGCAATAATAATTTGTTGTTTCGTTCGTTTGCAACAACATTCGTATTTCGATGTGTGCGATTATATTTAGCGCGAGTTTTTTTTTTTAACGTGAATTTTCCCCGAAAACTTGGCGCTTCGAATTGATTGATTTGACGCGCTTCTCTTTGACGCGAACAAAACGCGTCGATGAGCGACGCATTATCCGCGGTGGAAAGTTTATCTTTCTCTGCCGAAGAGCTACGTGTGCGTTGTTTTTTGTTTTTCCATTACACCACAACGGTATATATATGTGGGTGGATGTGGGTGGGTGTGTGTGTGTGTGTGTGATTTTTCTCTGACATTTCGCATAAGCAGGGGTGAATCATATCGCGCACGATTTCCCGGTAAAGTACATAATCGGAATTCAACATCAATTCACCGAATTGATTGTGTGAATGCGCGGAAAAACGCGTCCTAACAAAATAAATTGTTGTATCGTTTCTTCGGTAAAATTATTTACTCCATCCGTCGCCCGGAAAGTCTGATTTGTTAATTCATCGAATTAATTCAAAGTGCACACACACACACACACACACACACATATACAATTTGATATGTAATTTTCTAAACACAATTGTTTGCGCGCAATTGCGTTCTAAGAAAAAATTAACAAATAACAATCATCAAAGAAAAACTCATTTGTTCCGTACAGACGCTTATCGCGCTCGGGTAATGAAAGACGGAGAAAATGAGGATAGACCTGGCGGAAGTTGAAGTATCGACGGAAGACAGTAGTTCGGCCGTCGGCGTCGCAATGGACAACAGCAGCATGGATAGCACGGACGATTGTTGTGACGGGGTTGAAGAGGAATTGACGAGTCTGTCCTGGTTGCAGTCGTTGGATATAACCAGCGCGTCCGGACTGCCGACGCCGCCTTGTTCACCGTCGCCACCGCCGGTCGTTCGTCAACCCCCAAAGAAGCTGTCGCCCTTGGCCAAGGCTGAATTAGGTGATGTTATGTATAAAACTATGTATAGAACGGAACGAGTCCCCGATAATTATTATTATTGTTACACGTATTATCGATCTTTAGAATCGCGGTAACACGAGACAGAATGTGACGGTAAAAAATATTCGTTCTCGAGAGATTAAAGTTTTTCTTGTTGTTTCTTGTTATATAGATCTCGCAGAAAATGCCGACAAGTATCGAACGGATCCAAACGCAAAACCGCCGTTTTCCTACGCAACTATTATTTGTCTCGCGATGCGCGCGAACAACAACAAGGTATCGCTCTCGAACATCTACGCGTGGATTCGAGAGAATTTTCTATTTTACAAGTACGCCGATCCAGCCTGGCAGGTAAAAGCCCAATTTTTTTCCTTCTCTCTTTTTCTTTTTTTTCTTTTTTCATATATATCATTAAATATAACGTACAAAAACCGTACGTATGTTTGCTTAACAACGAGATGAAATAAACGACTTGTGTCTTTTTTTCATTGCTTTCGTCTCTTTTCTCTCTTTGAGCAGAATTCCATTCGGCACAATTTGTCGCTGAACAAGTGCTTCGTGAAGTTGCCGCGTTCCAAAAACGAACCGGGCAAAGGTGGTTTCTGGAAATTGGATCTCGAGAGAATGGAAGAGGGCAAACGATCCAGACGTCGTTCAGCCGCGATCTCACAGCGAGTTCGAGGCACGAAGAAGCAATCCCCGACCGTGACAACGACGATGACGTTCAATACTTCTCCACAGACCAATAACAGCTGCACACCGCCCAGCAGCTGCTTGTCCAGCAGTACTCTGTACGAGACCCCGCCTAGCAGCGTGTCGCCCCCGATTCCGGACAGTCTGTCGGAAGTACCGGAATCGACGCAGGTCAGCTTGAGCGAGGACGACTTCACCAACTTGTTGATCGCTGGCTGGGACGAGAACAATCAACTGGAACTTCTCGATCTATTGGACACCCTGTAAACCTACCCCCAAGCCTATCTTTCTAGCGTATTAATCTTCTTCTTATTTCGCACACACGTTCTCTCGTTTATATATGTTCGTCAAATTTTTCTTCTTTCATATCAATTGGGACAACATTTTCTTCGAAAATTCTATTTGAGAAGAAACGATTCAAATTTTATTTTTATATCGTAGAGACTTTATATTATGTAAAGTGTATAAAAACTGACGACTTTTGAATTGAAACGCGATGAAGTATATATATATATATATATACACACGTATATATATGTATTTCATCTCATTGATTATAAAATATACTAGATATATATATGTATACATATATATATAATACCGTCCAAGTATTTGACGTAATACAGTGACATTGTGCGATGAGGAATATCAGTGCATACTATGATATAATTTATTAAGCTCGCACTTATTTTTGATAATCACTTTCTTTCTCTTGATCTTTGGAGGACCGGAAGCCCCTTTAGGGACTTTGAGTCGTTTTTTTAGATAATTTTTGGGGATTTGGGAATGTTTGCAGCTCTTAATTATAGTTAAAAAATGTTGACAATGAAAATATGTAATGTAAAATATTGTGAAACGACGTCCGTACGTGTATTGGCGAGTAGGATAGATAGAGGGAAAGAAGCGGAAGTGACGCGCTATACGGATATGCCCGGCGCACACGTTTTTCTCGACAACTGTATCACGCACGAGACATCGTGCAAAGAAGAATTTTTTTTTGACGATTTCTCTTATAAAAGTATTCACAATAATTTTCTATTACAATTGCCGCGTTGCAATGCGGAGATGTAATTTGAAAAAGTAATTCGAATAGCCTTGACATGTAACTCTGATATATGAAAACAAATAGGGGTAAACAGTACAGTTATTGGCCTCCCAACAGTAATTGGCCATGTATTAAAGAATTAATAAATATAAATAAATACTACTATTATATTCTAAATTATAAACATTTTAATATTAATTAAGTTCTTCTGCTCCGAATAAAAGTAATATTATAGTATTTAAAAAGCTTAAAAAACTTATTGTTANACGACAAACATTGGCCAACCGGCCAATCACTGTTTTTAAGGTTTTGAAAACCATGTGACAGTCATTGGCCTCTTATTTTGAGTTATAGGATACAAATGTAAGTAGGTTTATTAGTTTTTAATGTGTTATAAATAAAATATTCATTACTATATNTTTTTCAAATTTTCTAATAAATTTATTATTTTATTTGCAATTGTTATAGTTTGTTTGAGCTAGTAATACTGAAGATTTACTTTAAGTTATTAAATTTAATTTTATAATTCACTCTATATAGTGAAGTTTTCCTTAAGTGGCCAATCACTGTATCTCTTACCCCTAATGCAAATGTTTTTACATATGTTACTTGCAAAATGTTTTTAAAATTTTAACTCTACAACGATGTTGGATAATTATTCTAAAACAATATCCAATGATATTTAGTTAAAAAAAAAAAAAAATTCAAAAACAAGGAATGTCATTTTTTTCCGGAAGCCCCTTTAGAAACTCGACAACGGCGCCATTTTTTTTCTCGTCGCTCAACCCCCCGTGACATTGACAAAAAAGTTCTAGCTCTTGAAATAAAAAAAAGTCGATGAAAAAACACGCCGGTCCTCAGAGAGAAGATCTAATCTCATCGAATCTCTTTCTCTCTACATATATTTTTTGCATCGATATTCTTCCTCGTCTGGCGAGTAATCGTGCTCTTCGTGGCAGAACGATTCACGCATCGTGCCTTCAAGTAATTAGCAAGTGTCTCTTATAATCAATTCTTAAGCAGCGTGCTATAGACTACATATATATATAAATATTTATAAATATGTGTGCGTGTGTGTGTGTGCACGCGCGCGCGCGCGCGCGCGTGTACCAGACTGATTGTTTAGTGTGATATATGATATTTTCTATCGACGACATTTAAACGATATTTAGAGTACTAGTAAGTCTGCTCTTTGATTTAGTTTTAGCGCGTAGGAAAAAAACCGAGACATATTGTATAGTATATATATATATATATATAGTATATATATATATATGTCGAAAAAGGTGTGCGATTGGTTGACATATGAGTCGAATCTTACACAATAGTGTACATCGAGCAAGACACACACGGTCATAGCATACATATAGTTTTTATTTCATTTTTCTGTCATTTAATTCTCTTTCTCTCTCTCTCTCTCTCTCTCTCTCTCTCTCTCTCCTCTTTTCATCTCTCCTTTAAACGTGTTAAATTAAAAAATTGTATATTATATTATAATATATAATATTATATTTAAAAATTGTATATTATATTATATATTAATTATCGTTACAGAGTAGAATTTCAGTAATTTCGAACATCACAATTTCGGATTTCTCTCTTTTATATAAACGGGTCAATAGGTTCCTTTGCTTATTATGTTTTCCCGATTTGTGAGTAAAAATCTGCGAAATCGTAGAACGCGTCTATCTTTGCTCTCCAAGAGTCTAAGGGAAAGAGAAAAATCTATGTCCTTTGTCTCTCGCTACTAGTCGATTGCCAACCGAGAGGAGAAGAAAATAATTTCGAATTCCAGAAAGAGAATCGGTTTTCCGTGCGCTCGAAATTACTGGCTGGTTCTACTGCGTTGCGTTGTGAGATAATGTGGTAATGCGTGTGTTATTTCGTTGACACGAAATTAATAAGTAAGATAAATAAAGTGCGTATATAGACGCGTTAGATTTCTCACACTGTTGCGTGTACGCAACACAACGAAACGCGCGATGTCTCTCGAAAAAAAAATATTGTCTCTAGTTTTTTGGAAGGGCGGAGAATATTCCAGTCCTCAAAATAGGACATTTCCGTTTTTTAGAACGTGCAACAAATTTGACGACACAAAGCGCGCGCGTTGTGTCTTGGACAAGAATTTACACATTTTTACTTAACAGCAACAAAAATGAATCCGAAGCAATAAATCTAGAATTTGCGTAACAACAACAACAAAAAATTAATTATAAATTAATTATGAAGAGCGTATGTCTCCATACAATGCCACGATATTTTCGAAGCACTATGTATGTACAATATTGTGTCGGATATACGCTGATATTGTGCCGATGGATGATGATGATGTGGAATTTTGCGACTGATTGTATACTACAACGACGTAGAATCGAACATACTTACATATGTGCGCGTACCAATTCATACCCCAATAGTGAGAATTGTGAAAATATTGCACAAAAATGGCATCGTGAATGACGACGATTTTGCAATGATTGCACTAATGGCGATGATTCGTCACAACGCAACAGTTTTGTCAAAATAAAAGTTTGTAAATAATATTCGTCCAAAATTATATAAAAGAGTCGATATGCATTTCCATAAGTATATATATGAATTAATTTGATTTTTTCACATGCAATTATATCTCTACATGTTTTAAACATCACATAGCTGAAATTGTTTTCTCAATTATTAAACAATTTCTTTTCAAATTTAATTTTGCAAACACACTGCTGAAGATGATTCGCCGTATCGTTACTGTTTCGCCGAAAATAGTATTTGGAAATTAATTTTGCAAACAGTTAGAAATATTTTATTTAAAAAATCAATAATTTTACACAATCGATTTCTCAAAATATATCTAATCATAATTGCAAATCGCAATTTTCACGCAAGATTTTTTCACATAAATTTCATCAATGTTTTCCTATCGGGGTATATCTTCTTCAGAAATCTATTTTGTTCATCCGATGAAATGAAATCAACGCATCTGCACTGCGCATTGCTACGTATTAAACAGTTCGAATAACAGAAGACAACCAAAACAGTGTCCGAATATATATATAATCGATTGTATCGAGAAATAAAGAGCGTACAATACGATATATATATGTATATATATATATATATATACGTATATGTATATTTGCGTATACATACTATTGGGGGGCGTAAATGTCTTTGCACATTAAGTTGCACATCAAATGCATCAAATAATGCTTTTCATTGTTTAAGATATTGTTAATGCAACGCTTGCGGATGCAACTTCACGAGCAAAGGCATTTACCGCCCTACTATATATATACATATACATATATATAGCCCGAATATGCATTGTACGGCGCGACACTATATACATATGTGTATATATATACATATATATGGTATCATCAATAAAAGATCATGTACATGTATAATCAACTTTTGATAACTTAACTCGCTCGATTAATTCACCGATCAATACGCATTGATCGATTTGGTTAATCGACCATGCGAGCAATCAAAATATCAAATTCATAGAGCCACTCGACCAATTAAGTTAATCTATTTTAAATACGATCCGTTGAATATGTGCCTTGAAATAAGACTATAAACCAGTTTCACCATCTCCGATTACCTCAAGCGGCCGATTATTCCGTCCTATTTCGCGACTACCACCCACAGAGCAAATATACTTTATATCGCGCACGGAGCTGTTGAGACGTCTAATGAACATCTAATAGAGTTCTTGTTCTGAGTGAGTGATTACGCGCTCTTAAATCGGAAATGGTTAAAATTTATAAAATTTATGTTATCTTTTTTCTCTCTTCTATATTTCTCTACAACTATAATAAAAACTCGGTGCAACGTGTGGTTGTGTGTGTGTGTCTTCGTAATTTGTATCTATATATAGAACTTAATCATAATTTTAATTAACATGTGTGTATAACTTTTTGTGAGATATAATAAAGAAAAAAATATATGTATATATTCTATATAATGTCTCCCTTTTTCTATATATATGACAGTTCTATATAATTAATATCGTTATTATATATACATGTGTGTGTGTGTGTGTGTGTGTACATATCTATATGTATGTATGTATGTATTTTAGATAGATAGACATATAGATACATAAATATTATCAAATATAAATAAATAAAAGAATTATTTTTGTATTCTCGAGAAAAAATGGAAAACGTGTGATCATGTGAGATTATATACGGATCGGATATGATTTTAGATAATTATATAAGATTTTATATAAGTCAGATGCGATATCATGTGATCGTGTAAAATCAAATCCGAAATTTGGCACGATTTGATTACTTGTATATAATCTTGTATAATCATATATGTTTCCATCTTTTCTCGGGTTGATTTAAAAGTACTTCAAAAGTTTTATACCTATATGTATAAATATATACTATATACACATACGGTATATAGTATAT